AAAAAAAAAAAAATGAAATTTCAGTTCACTCTGGCCAAGAGTCAGGTTCAGTCCCCTCCTCACCCCAATTCTCCACTCCTCTCCCCTTGCCAACCATCCCCTCACTCTCTTACCCCACCCCCTTACGTCACACATACATCCTCACTTTCTGGGCTCCAACCCTTAGTGCTGTAATTGACCCAATCCTCACCTTTTGGAATATGACAAGCTGAAAACTGTTCTGTAGATCTATCTGACTTCTGCTCAATCCCCAATCAGAAAAAGGCAAGGAAAAATTCCCTCCTCCAACCTCTTGGGTACCAAACTCCCCAGCATAAAACTCCTAGCCCTCTTAACAATGTTCTGAAACAACTTTTGCCTCAGGCCGCAATACTACTGTGACAGGGACCTATAACTTGCTTCCCCATCCTTTCCCATCACTCAATCAAATATTAAAAGAACCTAGATTTTTCCAAGATGAACACTAGCTCCAATTTCCCCAAGCCAGAGACCTTGAGTCCCCTAGAGAAATGTAGTAACAACACACTTTTATCTCAATTCAATAAATTTATGTCTTAATTCAACAAAGTATCTCCTAAGCATCTACCACAGGGAAGGCATAATCCACACACTCCACCAGCAAATACTAGTTCTGTAGCTCCTCTGCGCCAAACTACTCTAAGTACCAAGGGTACAGCAATGGACAGGACAAAGTAGCTACCCCTCACGGAACTTACATTCTAAGGAGTAAACAGATGTTAAAAGTAAAATAAATATGAAGAAAAGTAAAGCAGAGACAAGGATATGTTAGACAGGAGAGCCTAACCAGACATGGGGCCACATGATAAGGCCAGTAAGTCCCACTAGCCAATTACAGGACAGTGCTAAATTATGATTTAATAGACTTCCACAAAGGAGTAGGAAGACTGAAGATTAAACAAATGCAGCTCTATCCGTGGAGTTAACTCTACGCTCTGTGAAGGGACAAATTCCAGAGACGTCGGTGTACAAAGCAGCAGCTTTGATAATTAATTTTTCCTGCCTAAAAAGTTCCAAGTAGGGGCGCCTGGGTGGCTCAGTCGGTTAAGCGTCTGAC